TGATTTTGGTGCAGATTTGACATCATATTTCTAGATAGGCAGTAGGCAAAATTTCCTTCCATGATCCCATTACAGCTGCCTCTGCAGGGAGAAAGCTAGGAGTACTGGCCCCATTTACAGACAGTGAAATAGAAGGCTCAAGGCAGGATGCCAGGCACTCTCAGTATTGAAAGCCTTTGCTCTACCTAATGAGCCATACTCTCTGAGCATCCTTGAGGAAAGGAGAGGCCATCATTCAATTTGATTTAGTTCAGTTCAACAGTCACTTTGTCATCATCATTCTCATTGATGACATTTATTGAGCTCATACTAAGCGCCTGGCACTATGTCTCATTATCTCTTTTAATCCACACACATCAGCCATTTGAGATAGGTCCCATTTACTTGCCATTTTGCATTTTATATATTAGGAAACCAAGGCTCAGAGAGTATATACCATTCATCTAAACCAGATTTAAACCCAGATCTATCTGACTCTATAGCCCGAGGTCTTAACCACTGGATACTACTACTGAAACCACCATTCTACCACCTTTTGTTTCTTCCCATTAGCCTCTGTGGTTGCTTAAATTTTCCATCTGGTCATCTGACTTGCTACTTCATATAATTATAGGGATTGGCAAACATCTTGCTCACAACCTGTTTATGTAAATAAGGTTTATTGGAATGCCACCATGCATATTTACTTATGTATTATTATTTAGAGGTGCTTTCATGCTACAATGGCAGAGGTGAATAGTTGTAAAAGAGACCACATGGCATCGAAAGCTGTAAATATTTACTATCTGACTCTTGTAGAAATAGTTTGCCAATCTCTGATACACTAAGCAACCACTATGCTAAAAGCTTAACTTTTATTTTCTCGTTTAACTTATAGTACAATTGTGTGTGTGTGTGACTATGTGTGTAGGGGGTACTCAGATCAATCCTATTTTACAAATAAGGAAACTGAGTCTCACAAAGTTCAGAGCTAGTAAATGATAGAGCCATAATTTAAACCTAGGCAGTCAGGCTCTAGAACCCATGCTCCTAACCATAAGCTACAGATGTCTGTTATCAGGCAAGCTCTCCAATGGAACTGCTTGTACGATGCTGAACAAGATATGGCACTGCCCAAAGGAGCCCTGCTGAGGATGAGAGGACAGCAGCCCAGGTGATGAGTACCCTGATGGAAGAGAGCTGGGTTGGGACTGTGGGAGCCTGGGGGATACACACTTGCTTGTACTGATTGCAGCTGGGATACACAGAGGAGGTTGGGGCAGGTAATATAGTCACTTCCAAAAAGGAGAATGTTGCCCCAAATCTACTGACAATTGCTTGGCCAATTGATTTTCTAATAGTCTTTATGTTAAATAGTAATTTTAAAAAGTGACTTGGTAGCCAGGCTACCCCTTGATTTCTAACTGAGCAGCTTTGTAGGGAATGGTTTTTGTTAGAGTCATTAATCCACATTTAAGGGAGACAAACTCAGTCTCTCTTTTTGAGAATCTGTTCCCATCTTATATAAACTTGGAGAATATGGAAGTGGCCTGGGATTCAGGGTCATCTCTATGCTCCCTGACACTGCTGTGAGCTTTCCCACATGGGCCTGAAGGGTGGCCATATAGACAACATTTGCATGGACAGGGACTGCAGGGGTCACTTCCCTGCACTGTTGGATTACTTGGGTTTGGGTGAATTTATGTCTTTAGCTGAAACTCAATTTGCATTCTTGAGGTATTCTACCACGGAGTTCTGGTTCTGTTTTCAGAAACATTGCAGAACAGTGCTACTCCCCACTTGATGTGGTAAGGAAGTCTTCAAAGGAAACATCATGTTTCCCCCAACCATTTCTTTTTTGGGGGGTTAAAGAGCTCACATTCCTCATGGTTCGCCTCTCCCTCTGATTTCAAAAAAAAAAAAAGAACTCACATTCCTTCAACCATTTTTACTATGATACTTTTTTCAAATCTCATCATAATTCTTTTTTCTCTTGGAGTTGAGGCCTGAATTTTAGATTTGCAAAAAAAAAAATTCATAATGAATATTCTTATGATAAGTTCTTCTTGGAGCTGAAGTATCTAGTGATGATATTATATACTTCCTAACACTAAGTAATGATAATGACATGTCTCATTGGGTTTCCCTTTCTGCCATGGGTTACTAGGAAGCTCACAGCAAAGTTTATGCTTGATTTTTTTTCCCTCTTTCTTAATTTGATTTTTTGCCTCCTATCTCCTGCCAATTACTATTGCTTTCAGTTTTATTGTATCTATTTTTTATGTAAACTATCTCATATATCCACTTCTATTTTATCAATCAATTCTCTCACCCACTAAGTGCAGCAGCTTTGCTGGTTCTCACACTTTGATAATAATGATGATGATGATGCCAATAGTAATGATACTAGTAATGATAAAAGGAGCCAACATTTATTAAGTGCCTCTGGCCAGACAGGCACTTTTCTGAATGCTCTATAAGTGTGACTTCATTGAAACCTTACAGTCATCCTATGAAGTAATATTATTAGCCAAATATTATAGATGGGGAAACTAAAGCACAGAGAGGTTAAGTAATTTACCCTACATTATAGATTCAGAAAATAGCAGAGCCAGTTTGAAACCTAGACAGTCCAAATTCAAAATGTATGTCCTCGTCTACTATGCTATACTAACTAAATTATCAGACCACTTCAACCCATTCCACATCAACTCTGGGGCCAAAAGATTCTGGATCTCATCCTAGGGAATACTGATGTCGGCTTTGAGGACTTGCTCATCATTGCCCTCAGTAGTAGTGGTTTCTGGCTCCTTCATAGTCTGCCAGCATGCTCTGGGTACTCCTCCCAATCCTGTGCCCCTGTCCAGCAAGCCAGACTCAAACACAGCACTGGGATACAGAGAGACAGCCCCAGGTATTGGCCCAGCTGGGCTCATGGAGGGTGGCCAGGCTCTGGCCTGAGAACATATCATTTGTATAAAGGTCCATGTCCAGGCAAGACAAGGGCAAGGTGGGACAATCAGGGAACAATGCATAGGCTAGAAAACAGAAAAAAGGAAGATAGGAAGCCAAGAGTCTGCTGGCTGATCCTTACTATACCTATTATGTGCCAGATACTTAATTACATAAGCCAGTTATTCTTCTCATTCTGAAAGGAGGAACTGGAGTTCACAGAGATTAGGTGACTTGTTCTAGGTCATTCAGCAAGGTAGGTGTAAACATGGGAATAACTCTTTGTGGGAAAAAGATCTCACCAAATAAGTATAAGTATTTCATTCCAGAAGATGGAATGTCACCCCTATTCCTCAGGGCTGTGGTTAGAGTTGAAGATATGGAGGGAGGGCAAGACCCCCAGTGGCTGGAGTCTGAGGAATACAAGGCACACTGGGGACTCCAGAAGCATGATCCTGCTCTCAGCACAAGAGGAGGCTGCTTCTCTCCAGGTTAGGCAGTGTGGGGAGGGACTTGGTTGAGTGCAGATGGCAAAGAGAGACTCCGAGCCCTCAGGAAAGGGGTGCATGTACCCAGTTCAGTGCCTTTCTCCCTTTTCTACCCTGGAGAGTGACAAGGGGGCAGGGGACAGGGGCTGGAATGGGTGTAGGCTGGACTGCTACCAGAAGGTAATGCTTGGCTCTCTGTGCATATGTTCTTGCCCTTGCAAGAAGGAAAGGAGGGAAGGAAAGTGGAAAGAAAGGAAGAGAGAGAGGGGCACCTGGGTGGCTCAGTTGGTTAAGCTACTGCCTTCGGCTCAGGTCATGATCCCAGGGTCCTGGGATCAAGTCCCGCATTGGGCTCCCTGCTCTGTGGGGAGCCTGCTTCTCCCTCTCCCACTCCCCCTGCTTGTGTTCCCTCTCTCGCTGTGTCTCTCTCTGTCAAATACATAAATAAAATCTTTAAAAAAAAAAAAAAAAGAAAGGAAGAGAGAGAAAGAAGAAAGAAGGAAGAAGAGAGAAGATATGAAACATGAACTTTTATGCTTTTGTAATTTGCCCAATATCATTGTGTCACAGGAAGGCAAACACTGTGGGCCCATCAAGTGAGAGGCAATGAAAGGTGTCCTCCCTGGCCTGTGATTTGGATGGGAGGCAGACGGGGCTTCACAACTAGCACTGGCAGAGAGCATATGGGAGAGCCAAAAGGGGACACTGGCTTCAGCAATAGTCTGAGGTCCCTATAACAGAGGACCAGGGAGTCAGGAAGAAATGGACAACAAAAAGCCAGAGAGAGAGAGAGAGAGAGAGAGCTTCTTGGTCCCTTGGGGAAAAAAACAGTCTCACAAAGAACAACAACAAAACGAGAGGAGACATTTGATAGCATTTTCCCCTTAAACGTCATTTTTATTAATTCCACCCTTAATACTACTTGAGATTTGCCACAGCCTCCAGCAGGGACTTTCAGGCCCTGGAATTTTGTGCTATCTCTGTGTGACCTGGGGCCCAATGCATAATGGTAGTCATGAAAAGAAAGAACCGTGGTAAGCATTGATTATTGAACACCTACTACGTGCCACACATGATACTGGCTGGGCACACCAGTTGCTCATCTCAGAAATGAAGGGTGGGCTCTTTAATAGCTCTGAAGTCCTCTGCTTCTGCAACTGCTGGCTGCCACTGAGCTCTCAGTTCATCTGTGATTAGATCAGACCATAAACTTCCCCCCCTTCCCTTCTCCTTGTTAAAATTCTGCAGTGTAGGCAGGGATCCAGAAGTGCAAAAGCCTTCATTGCAGTTGCCTGCCAATGCTTTGCAGTACCACAGTGGATGGAGTACTGCAGAGTCCAGGGCTTGACAACTGTTCCTGGTGGGTGTGTGGTGTGTGTGTGTGTGTGTGGTGTGTGTGTATGTCAGAGGTGGGGGTCCCTGGCAAGCCCAGGCTATCGGCTGCTTCTGCTGGCCCTCACTCAAGGCAGCTCTGGTAGTCACTCAATTTCCTCCAGGCCCCAGGGAAGCTAATAAAGGTTTGAGGTCCTTGGGTATGCCAGACCACACTCACTCATCTTGGTCAAATCTTTCCTTCTACAGTTTCCTCATCTGCAAAATGGAAGCAATAATGCCTGGTCTTGGCAGAACTTATTGTGAGGCTAAAATTGGCTGATAAATCTGAAAACGCTGTGAAAACATTACATTGCTACTAAAGAGTGTGGAAGGGTCCTGGAGCCATTCTTATTTTAGTGTAAGTACAAGCACTTTAATCAACCAAATATGTCCGATGGCTTTACACAGGAACATAAATCTTTTTGGAATGGGAAGACTCTTCCAAGTTATTCAAAACAGCTGTAGATAATCTACAGGATGAAATTACCAAACGTAATCTCAGACTATATAAGAGGGAAACAGAGTTTCCAGGTGCCAGAGAACCAAAAAAGGTGCTACTAAAGGGGAAGGAGTTTCCTGCCTTCCACTGTCACTGGATCCCTCCCCCATACTGAAACAGGAAGCATCAAAGTCTCAACATTGAAAAAGAACCTAGAAGTGACCTGAGCCAACTCTACCCTATGAATGAATCTGTTTATAGGAATGCAAATCACTGGTCTATTTGTTGGCTTTTCTGGTCTTGAGCTGATGGAGAAAGGAGGTGAGGCATAATCACTCAACCCTGAACTCCCACTCCCAGCTGACATATAGAGTTATTCCTCTAATGATAAGTCCAAAAGGGTCCAGATTCCCCCATATGTCTGAGCAGGCAGTTTTCCCAGTGTCTGGTCCCAGGAAGAACAAATCAAATTCTTTAAAGTCAAAAGGGTATAACCTAAAAAGTAGTAGAAAATGTCCCCAGTGATATAGAGAAATAGAAATGCAGTGAGAGATATCAGAAAAACCTTCTGGAAATGCTGAGTAAAATATGGTGATGTATCAGGCTATTGCTCTTTCCTCTATGAGAAAAAGCTGGACAAACTGGCCAGTACTTGCATCTGATGGTAGTAAAATTTCACCCAAGCTGGACATGACCTTTGAGAAGTAGCAGCAGAAGCACCCAGGGCTTCAAGCCAGGGGGACATGTGGACCAAAGAACTATCCCTGCAAGGGCAGGTACCCTAAGGTTTGTAGGAGAGGTAATTCCAAGAGATACTGAATTCCCACCCTTGATAGTGAACAGCCATAGGAATGAGTCACTGACCCACATGTGCTTACTAAAGAGGCAGGAGAGAAGGCAAGAGAAGGGGCTGATGAGGAAGAAAAGAAAGGGAGAAGGGGACAAGGATGAGGAGGGAAAAGTGTGATGTAGAAGAGAACAAGAGAGGTGGCAGGGCAAAGAGAGTTGGGGGAGGAGACGAGGAGAGAGGGTAAGAGTAAACAGAAGAGGAGAAGGAGGGAAGGCAGAAGGGAATAAAAGGAGAGAGGAGAAGGAACAAATGAGGAAGGTTTCTGCTGGATTTGTAACATTTTCTTTCTGAAGCTAAGCTGTGGGTTCACAGTGTTTGTTATGTTCACTATACTCTCCTCTATGCTGTTTTGCATGCCTGAAACATTTTATAATTTTCTAAAAAAGGAAGAGGAGGAAGAAAGACTAAGAATGAGGAGGAGGTAGAGGGAGATGGCAATACTATCTTCCCTGCTTTCTTTGACAAATGGAATCAGAGGGTTGGAGTGGTACAAAATAATAGCATTGGTGGCTTCTCCATCCATGTGAGAGGTCTTTGGGAGCATGATGCTGGTTTTGTCTACTAAACCTGGTTCCAAATGAGGTGCCTGAACCTGAACTAGATGGAAGCCATTGTCCCTCTACCATCCTCACTGCTGCATTGGAAGATCAGAGCCTCCAGAATTTAGCACCCAGTTCCATTTCTGCTTCAACTCAGTGTGTCACCTAAACAGTTCAACATATGTTCCCTGAGCTCCTGCTCTGTGCCAGGAGCCATGCTGGGGACTAGGATGTAAACCAGTGACCCCTTTCTTCTTGAAGAGTTTATGGGTAGAGGAGAACTGCTCAGAGCCCCGGTTTTCCCATCTGTGGAATGAGGGGTTTGCTTCAGTTATTTTCAACCTGGGCTTGCTTGAAACCCTAGGATTCCAGTGTGTGACTCAGAGTGACTGGAGGAGCACTGCATCCCATTCTCTAGGACAGCTTAGCTTTATTCCATATCAGATATTGGGATTGGGCTTAAGCTTGGATTTAGAAATATAATTTCACAGCTAAAGAAGATCTGAAAACCATTGAATTAAATGGTCCCCAAGGTCTAAAGTTTTAAAGTTCTCTGTTGTATTTGTAAGGTCGTCGTATGATTCCTTGAAGACTCTAATGATAAGAATTCATTTGTTCTTTCATTCAGCAAATGCTTATTGAGGTTCTCAATAAATGTGGACAAAGACAGACAATCAGCAAATAAATAAAGAAGCTAATAAAATAGGGCACTGGCCACAGAGGACATGGAGGATGGAGAAGAGATTAGGGAGAGGACATTGTTGGAGCTGAGGCATTATCATTGAGAGACCAACCTTGAAAAGATCTGGAAGAAGGGTAGTCCAGACAAAATGAATAGCCAGTGTAAAGGCCAGATGATGAAAATGAATCCTACATGTCCAGGACCGAGGGATCCAGGTCATAGAAAACAAGGGTGAAGGCGGTGTGACGTGAGATGGAGTCAGGAAGGTAATCAAGGCCAGGTGATATAGGTTCTTGCAGATTTTGTAAAGAGTTTGGACCTTACTCTAAATTCAGTAAGATGGCTTTGGGGAGTTTCAAAGAGGGCTCTGATGTGATCTGATTAAATTTTATAAAAATCACTCTGGCTGCTGTGTGGTGGATGGATGGTAAAGGGGGCAAAAATGGAGACCTCTCTTTGGTGGTACGGATGATAGATGATGGAGATGCAGGTATAAGTCACAGAAATTGTGAGAAAAGGTCAAACATGGCATGTTGAGAAATGAGAAAAAGATTTCATGATCACTACGTATCCAATACCTTTCTAGACTCCAAATATATGAGTTTTGATCTTAACCTTGCCTTTTGGTGTCTAATTCTGCTCCCAAGTACACTTTTGCTTAGCAGTTCCGGAAGGCAAAAAGAAAGCCAATTCCCTTGGCTTCTTGACCATTTGGGGAAAGTGTAGACTCAGACAGACCCCAAAAATTTACCAGCTCTCTGTTCCTTATTGAGAAGGCTGCTGGGGTAATTTTCAATTGGAAAGACAAAACAAAGGCTTGGACCACAAACATTAACTCTTTAATCTCAGATGGGTATGCAGTAATGCTTGCCAACAGATCTGACCAAGCAGTTAACTGAATTTTAAGTGGAAGGTAATCTAAACTTGGATGTGAAGAACCACAAGATCCAGTGGTGAGTGATCAATAATTATTTCTGAAGTGTTTCCCCAAAAAACTCGGCACTGTGCCTCATACTTTGCAGAATATAAAAGGACTATAAGACATGTTCCTTCCTTTTATGAATGTACCCTTCAGCTGGGAGAAAATAACCAACACATAAAATAGACATCCGGCTGGCCAAATGGAGTGGGTGGATGGGGGTTGGGGGTCTCCACTAGAGCCCCAAGCTGGCATCAGGGGAGTTCGGGTTCCAGTTCAACCTCCATGACTTAGGGCAAACCATCTAATCCTTCTGGAACTGATTCTTCTTCCATAAAACAGGGGTAATGCTTCCCAACCTTCCTAGTAGGGATTACATGGGATTTGAAAATGCTTTGTAAGTCGTAAAGTGTGGTATAAATAGTAAGGGTTATTATTACTGACTCTAAGTACAGAAAGTGAAGGGAGATGGCAACGTGTCAGCAACTAGAGCCTTTTCTGAAAAACAAAAATCGAATCAAGCACCTCTTGCTCAAAAACCACCAATGACTCCCCGTTGCCTAAACAAAGGTTAGCAAACTATGCCCGGCCCCTCTGGCCAAATCTGTTCCATCGCCTATTTGACAAATGAAGTTTTACTGGAATACAGTCATAGCCATTGTGGGCATATTGTCTGGGACTGCTTTCCTGCCCTAACGGCAGTTGAACAGTTACAACAGAGATTGTATGGACAAGAAAGCTGAAAACATTTATATCTGGCCCTTTAGAGAGGAAAAAAAAAATGACAACAAAAAAACCTGCTGACTCCCAGCCTAGAGGATAAAGTCTAACCCTATTTAAAATGTAAAGTCCCTTGATACCTGAAGCAGGATTTGAATATATAAAAGGAATCAAATACCTTCCTCCAAGTCATTCCCAACTCCGTACACCATTTTGTACCATTTCCAAGGGACTCATCCCATACGAGGTGGCATTATCAGGTACTGTTTTTGTAATCTCTACAATGTTTATCATAGTCCCCAGGTCATAACGTGTTCTCAGTAAAGTTTAACCAAATTCAATCTGAGTCATAAATAGAGCAAGAGACCTACTCATGATATATCATTGATAACATTATCATTAAAAGGGAAAGCAATTTGTAAGTTAGTTAATTAGTTGCACAATATTTTATTCCATGACAACAACTATTCCATGCCACAGAAGCTAAGGCAAATTAGGTAATATGGGATTATGTTCATTGCTTTGACAAGAAGGAAACACCTGTTCTGTGTCAAGCTGGAGGTAAGGACCAGGGGTTCAAAGTGGACTATGACCACCTTCTGCACTCAAGGAGGCTACAGTCAAGTTGGGGAAGCTGAAGGTCAGCAGATAGTCACTGCACAGGGAGACAATGCTAAAGTGGTACAGAAAGCATGGAGGTGGCAGGGAGATGGACAGGATGCCTGGGAATGCTATCATTGCACATTTCCTCCTGTATATTTACCTACAGCTTACTCTCCCAAGGAAAAGTAAGTGAGCCAAGGCCCACTCACATGTGAGGATCTATCTGATGAGCTAACATTGACTGTGCTGGCCATTTTATATAGATAATGTCATTTAATCCTTACGACAACTCTGTGGTTTTACAAAGGCCAAGTCACTTGTTCCAGGTTAACAGTCAGAAAATGGAAGATTCTAGCCGAAGTCAATCATCAGCTAAAGCCTAGGCACTTAACCCTTTACTGTAGAGCCTAATTACATGGCAGAGAAGAAGACTAGGAGTCTATTCTAGAGAAAGTCTAAAGTTTCTGACCTATAGAGATAGTACTAAATGTTTCTGTACTTCCTAAATGGACACTTGTTTCATGAGGACTATCCATTGTGGACCAAAGGCATGGCTGGAACATAACCAGTCAGTATGTGTTCAATAAGTCAATAATCAAGGGAAGAGAGAATAAAGTGTTGCAAAGATCAATAACTCCTAGCCACTGGGCATGCACCAAACCACTACAACTATCTCCGGAGAGTGATTCTGGACTCCAGACAAGATATTAATTAAGCCCTAACCACCAAGGGCTAGGGAACTCCCTACCAATTAATGGCCAGCTGGGAGCCTGTAAGACCTGAGGCCTACAGAGGGTCATTCCCTTTAGCCAGGCATACTCTCTAGGACATTATCTGTGCAAAGGTCAGGATGGATATTGTGGGCAGAAGAATTGGAATATAACTATGCACGTTTTTAAAAGTGGAAATTTTGGGGGTGCCTGGGTGGCTCAGTCGTTAAGCATCTGCCTTCGGCTCAGGTCATGATCCCAGGGTCCAGGGATCGAGTCCCGCATCGGGCTCCCTGCTCAGCAGGAAGCCTGCTTTTCCCTCTCCCATTCCCCCTGCTTCTGTTCCCTCTCTCGCTGTGTCTCTCTCTGTCAAATAAATAAATAAAATCTTTAAAAAAATAATAACAGTGGAAATTTTTATATTTGCTAAGCTTCCTAGGTTGTGTCTAGGACATAGTTGTTTCTACTTTGACCTAATTATTCAAATCGTCACTTTCAACTTTTCATTCCAAATGTAGTATAAACCAATAGACATATGGAAAAATGCCCAATCTTAAATAAATTTCATAATGAGAATAGTGAGATACAATTCTTTCCCTATTTGGCAGTGATGAAAAAAATCATCAGAAATTGACCAAACACAATGAAAAAGAGGCTCTGGTAAATAGGCCTTTTCATGCAGTAATGGTAGAGTTGTATATTAGTAGAACTTACTGGAAGGAAAAGTGGTAATATCAATAAGATGTAAAATCTATGGGTACTTTGACCTGCTAATTCTTGTTCTAGGAATTTATTTGAAGGAAATAACTCCAAAGTTCACATACTTTAAAAATGCTATTTACAGCATTAATAAAACCAACTATTTTGAAACAACCTAAATATTAAATATTCACAAAAAAATACTATTTAAATAGGTCATGGTTAACCAGACAACAGAGTCCTATTAGCCTACCTAAAAGAATGGTGTGAATCTACATGCCATAATGTGGAACTTTCTCCACACTGTTCAGTAAAAAAAGGCTTCTGTAAACCTGCATGTGTATGTAAGTGGCATGCAATGAATGTTGCAGATGTTACCAGCAAGTTGCCTAGAATAAACTTCACCAAATTGGTGGAACAGAGTGGCTCTTTCTGGGTGGTGAGATTTCAGGTGCTTGTTTCTTCTTCCTTTTTTTGATTATCTACATTATTTGAATTTTTACACAATAACCATGTAGTATCTTTTAAAAATGGAAAACCAATGGTTTTTAAATATCAGAACTAAGCGTCTCAAAGGTATATAAATTTTCTGGAGAAAAAGCAGGGCTAAACCAGAATAATGGCTGACTTTCAGAAGGAAAATGTGGAGGGATTTTGAAACCTGCCTGACAGCCTTACACAAGAAGTTTTGTCCTTCCCCAGTCCTGGAGAAGGCAGGAAGGGCCACTGGTTAGGAGCCTGTGCTCCAGGGTGAGTCCTTGGGTTCAAATATCAGCTCTATCATTTACCAGGTGAGTGATGGGGCAAATTACTTAACCTCATGTGCCTCAGTGTCCTCATTTACAAAATAAGGGACAGATAGCACCTGCCTCTAGGATTGTTGTGAGGATTAAGGACTAAATGAAAGACACTTACACAATGTCTGGCACATAGTCAATGATCAGTAAACATTAGCTCTTATGAAAACCAGCTTCACACCATTGTAGCCTAAGTAAGTTAAGTTATCCAGAATGAAGTGCTAATGAATAGTTAAGGGAGGGAGGAGGTAGTGGACAATTAGGCAAAGAAATCTACAAAAGTAGACCTCCAAATATCTAGGCTCTGCAGCACAAACATTAAGGGTATGGGCTGTGTGGTTTCAGGCAGGTGACTTAACCTGACAAGTCTTAACTGCTCATTCTGCAGAATGGGGGTCATATACAGAAGGCCATTTTAAGGATTAAATGTCAAGTCTAACACAGTGCATGGTCATAGTAAGTTTTAAATACATATTTGCTACCATTAATAATGATAATTATTATCTACTATGAGATTAAGTAGTGAGCTCCCTGTCACTACAAGTAACCAGGTAGGCTTACTTGCTGCATGAAGAGGATGATACAGAGAGGACTTAGTCATAGAATGAAGGGACAGACTACTGTATTTTTCCAGATCTAAAACTTGAGCAGTCATTGAAACATGAAACTGATTGTGAAATTGGAGTTGTTCCCAGGACTGTCCTGCAGAGTGGCGTGGGAGCCCATAGCCAGCAGGGCTATCTCCCCGGAGAGCTACAGGATGCTATAGCTCTCAGAAGCCAGCCCCACTTTTCAGACAGGTGAGGCAAGTGTGAGATGGTTGACCCAAACTCTGTCCATTCTCTGTCCCAAGAGTGGCTCTGCCTGCTCTGGAAAAACTGTGGAGAGTGTTCTGGCACCCACAACAAGGAAATCTGGCTGTGGATGAAGATGACAGTATTAAGAGCAATAACTAACCCTACTGACCGCATACTGCATGCTGAGCTTTGTGTTGAGAGATTTGCATAAATGTCTCATTGACTTCTCCCATCAAACCCATGCATCTGTGAGTGTCTATGCTATGAGCATCACCTGCATTTTACAGATAAAAACAAAAAAATGAGGCTCAGAGAGGATAAGTATTATCCCAAACCCTTTAGCCAGGAAGGGACAGAGGTTTTAACTCAGGTCTAAGGTACATTCAGAATGTGAGGCGTAATTATAAGGCCTCATGACAACGTGGTAACTCATTAGCATTACAGATGGGTCCTATTCCCTTTCAGACCTGCCACTCAACAGTCCCAGCCCCACAGGCTTAGTTGGTCTTTCTCAAGGTAGCTGGGAGCCGAGAAAGCCAAAACTGCCATGGGCATTATCTAATAATTCCTGGCCAGACACCACACACAGAATACTCTCTCCAAGATAATCCAAGTACTTAGCACTTTTATTTCCCTTTAAAATCCTTTAGTCAACCCAGGTGGCATTCAAACTTGCCTTGTCCAGTGCTGTGGGATCCACTGGACTTCTAGATATCAGGTTTTCTTTGCCATGGCAAGTCCTGGGGACAGTCCCCTGTACCTTTCCAGACCTGCATATGTCTTCAAACTCTGTTCTCAAATCACTGATATAACCTGCCCCACAAAGCAGGCAGATCCCAAGGGGACAAAGTCAAAACATCACAGGGAAGAACGCGGGCTTTTGAATCACAGACTCCTAGGCTTACATCTCATCTCCTTCACAGAGTACTTACCTTCCCTGAACCTCAGCTTCCTCATCAGTCTAAGAAGGATTCCGATACTCATAGATGTGTTGTAAGGATTACTGAGATAATGCAATACTGGAAAGGCGATGGGGTGTAGAGGTTAAGAGCACAGACTGTGTAAGTTCAGACACTGGCTCCATCACTAGCTGTGTGTCCTTAGGCAAGTTACTTAACTTTTCTGGGCCTCAGCTTCAGCTGTAAAATAGGGATAATGATAGTATCCACCTCTCTAGGACAGGGAATGAATGAGTTATAGCTTGGAAAGTGCCTAGAACAGCACCTGGCACATTAGTGAGCACTTGGTAAATGTGAGCTGTTATGATTAATGCATGTAAAGGCCTTAGTATGGTAAAAATAAGTACTCAATAAATGGTAACTGTTTTTATTACAAGGTACACCTTCCATGGATAATTTTATGCACATTCATCTCCTGGAAAGCAATTGAAAAATGAAGACATTAGGGGAAAATCTTGTTCTTAAGTAAATGTTGCAGCCAAAGCAGAGGGAATTCACCACCCTGTTGCACTGGCAGGACGCCCTAGGACCTCTGCACAATACCCAGCCCTCCTTTGCTTCCAAGAGATCCACTCTCTCAACAAATGCTCATTATACATCCAAAGTGAGCCTAGAAGCAGGCTGGAAATACCCAAGCAGTAAAAAAAAAAAGCTCCAGCCCCTGTCATCCTGAGCCTACAGGTTAGTGGGGAAAATACACACTAAATAAATGATTCTTTCAGGACCGCTGCAGTTTGTGTTATGAAGGATGTGCCAAGAAGGCAGAGGAGGGTCCTGCTGTGGTCTAGAACTGAAGGTGTATATGAGGGAGGAGTCCTTGGAAAGGTTCCCTGAGGAAGTGACATATAAGCTGGGACTTCAAAGATGAATAAGAGTTCGCTGGGTGATGCCTGGGAGTGGGAGGAGGAAATGGTCTAGGCAGACAGGCATTTTGTTCCAAGGTCTTGCGGCCACAAGGTGGTTGGCTCACTAGGGGAACAGAAAGAGGGGCACTGCAGCTGACTTACTCCTAGAAGAGCCACCCTAAAGGACTTGGTCAGGCAGGGTGCTGGTATTTGGAGAGAAACCCAGGTCCAAACTGCATTCTCAGTTGCAACCCTTCTCTCTTCCCTTTCAGACACTCCTCACTTGCTGGCAGGACTGCCAGGCCCAGACCCCTGCCCCCAGGCCGGGTGGTCTCAGTTCTCACTCAGATTTCCAGAGGCTGCGAACGGGGCTCACTTTGCCTACATGTGCACTTCAGCCAAGACACTCAGACAGTGATTCTGCCCTCTGAATGCCTTCGGATGCCTCAATCCTATCCTGGCCACACCCCACTGGGTTTTGTGACGAACAAGGAAACAGCATGAAAGAAAGCGATGGCCCCAAAGGAGGAACTTGTGATTGACACAAATGGGGATGTTCCCTTAGGGGCATCATGTATCCTCAAAGAAGCCAGCCCCCAGGTCACTGATTTCCCCGCCTGTTTACATGCTCCGGAAAGAAGATGTGTTTAAGTTTCCTACAGTTCTACAGTGGAAATTGATGCTCTGGGAAAGGAAGCCGTATGTTCCAGACGTCGCAGGTTTCTTTTGGAATTCACACACTGGGAGTCTGGCGCTATCCCCTAAATGGTACTTTTGTTGTCTTTTCGTTCAAGACAGCAAGCTTCTTCCGGGATCAGAACCGCCTGCCAGCCTCTCTTGATAAACAGCCCACCAGCTCTCTTGGTAGATCAGATGTTTAATGATTAGCCTAACTCATTGTTTATCTAAGTGGCAGTTATCACCACGATGAAATAGAATTTTAACGGCAGGGAGAGCATTACGGATAGCTCCCAAGGAGAATCTACTGGCTGGGAATGGCCAACAGAGCCTCCCATACACAGAGGAGAGGACCACTTCATCCTGGCTGGCAGATCTCCGCATCTGAGATGCCATCATTAGATGCTGTTCCAAAGACCTAAGGCAATGTGCCCCGGAGAAGTGTATGGTCCCAATCCTTCCAAGTGAGGCTCAATGGCCCAGCAAAATATGAAAGTGCGGCCTGTGCTTCTAAAGCGTAACAGCCTAGAGTCAGTGGAGTTCGTGAAACAACCTCACCATCGCAGGAGCAAATCTCAGCAGGTACGTTTCAAGGAAGATGGGACCAGTAAGACTCCACCTGGCCTAGCTGAGGTTGACATCCAAGCATCTGAGGACCCAGCTGTGATGGGCAAGACTCAGGCCTCCAGGCACCATCACCTCCCCACCTACTCACTCTCCTTCCCCAGGTCCCAGAAGGCAGGGGGCTTTCGGAACATTGCGATCCAAACCTCCCCCAGTCTTAGGAAGCATTTCCCAGTTTTCAAAAGGAAGAGACTCCCATCCAGCAAGTCCCTGGTAGAAATGCCAACAGCATCCCAAAGTGCCATCCAGGTCAACGGCAACCTCTCAGAACAGGACATTGTATCCTCAGAACTTGCCTACTTAAGGTTGGCTCAGCATCTTGAGGATGGGCCTCGAAGAGTCAAAGTATCCCACCCATTTCCTCCTAGAATGTCCAAGGTGCAAAGCAATGGGCCTATTAGCGTATGCTTGGAAGCAGGGACTTGGAGGCCCTCAGAGAAAGCAACTGCTACCATTCAGGTCCCAGATGATATTTACCACAGTCCTCCCTGGGCAGCTAGAAAGTCCACTCTCAGCCCAGACAGGTCAGGTGACAAAAGCAACTCCGTCCATCCTCTGGTTGACCCGTGTCCAGGTGATGGGAGAACAGTGCCACTATCAGGTTCAGAAAGATCCCCTTCCTGCTTAGATGCCACCAGCGATGCCAACTACATGCCAGGCACAGGAAAACTTAAACCTGAATTGCTCTTGCCCAAAGACAACTCTGATGACAAAGACCTTGGCCCACTGTCACCTCAGTCAAAGGAAACATGTATTTCGTCACCTCCACGGACTCACAGCTCTCCCTCACCAGGCTTCCACAGCCAGCCCACCCATTCAGGAGGGGCTTCAGACTGTTCTTCATTGAGTAACAATCACCAGGATCTACTGTCTCTCAAAACTAACAGCGTGTCAATTTCTGCCCCCATGTGTCGGGAGCAGATGGCAAAGAACCCCACCCAGTCAGACACCATGGAGTTTCAAAACTGTTCAGGAAGCAATCACCTCCCATCTCCTCTTCCAAGAAGGGAGACCAAACTTCAGAACAATGGAGAGACTGGTGGGATTAATCCAATTCACCTGGCACAGGGGGAACTCTGTGATCTCCAAGGCAGGCTGCAATCCGTGGAGGAATCTCTGCACTCGAACCAAGAGAAAATTAAAGTCCTTTTGAATGTAATTCAAGATTTGGAGAAAGCTCGAGCTCTCACAGAAGGGTAAGGTGAATTTTTTTTTATATATTGAAAACTACTGGGTTAAGCCATTTGCCGGGACAGGGGCAGAGAGAGAGAGCACTGGTTTCTGTTAATAAAATGTCTCCAAAGTCTTTGAGGTTCTGTGGTTTCCCCAAATCATAACCAATGGCCTCCCTTTGTTCCGAATGGGTTTCATTCATTTCTAGGCTTTGGTGGATTTCCATTGCTATTTGTTTTGGTTTCCAAATATCAACAGACTGGAGAAAGGGGGGCAGTGAAATAACAGGGTCAAAAAGTATTTTTATAATGAGACGGAATGATGGCAGAAGATGACAGCACACAGCTACTTCCCCAAGTCCATCCTTCTAGCAAGTTGCTGTATTTGCACAGGATTTTAGTTATTTGTGTGTTTGTTACAAAGGACTTGAGGTTACTGTTGATCTTCCCCTCCACTAACCACTTTGATGGATTTGGCCAGTCCATCACTGATCCACTAAATAGGTACTGAAATGAGATCACAATTCTGCAAAGAGAAAAAGTCACAGAATGCTTTCCTGGGTGACTCAGCACCAGTCTGGGGAGGGGAAGGCAGTGATTTGTTTAGGTATGGAATGCTTTCCTTTGAAAAAGTGCCCCCTAAAGACTGGGAAGAAGGAATGGCTAAAGCTAATCAACAAAAGGGTAGGAGAGGGAAGAAGTTATTAACTGGCATTTGCTGATATGAATCAGACCCAACACTGCCTTATAAGAAAGAAGCACTGTGGTGATACGGAGAAATGCACTGAACGAAATGGTCAGGGGTTTTAATAATCTCCCTTCTATTTGCAAAGTCCCTCAGTTTCCCTAACTATTGGTGCAGGTAAGAATAACTGACTCATCTCACTGGCTTATCGTCAGCATGAAAACAGATATGAAAGTGCTTAAACATTTATAAAGCCCTCTAGAAATGTGAGGTCCCATTATTGCGGGTTTCTTGTTTATTTGCCATGCAACTCTAGAGCATTGCTACTGATAAGAGGGGTAATGCTATGCTGTAGGAAACCGGTAGCTAGAATGTGTGCAACCCATGGGGCTTTTGCCCATGGATTTATCCAGGAAATGCTCTATCTTGCAGGCGCAACTTTTATCGAACTGGTCAAGATCTCAACAATTGCAGTACCTGCCAGAACACGGCGTGCATCATATACAGGTACCTGGCCACAACCAAGGCCTGCTCTGTAGAGCACAGAAGCTGTGGGGGCCATAGAACACCCTCGTAAACTCAGACACCGAAAGTCAAGAGAGAGGCAAAGAGAGGAGGCCTTTGAATACCTGAAACCTAAAAAAAAAACCAAGGTGTTCAACTATGAAATGTTAACATCTGGTTCCAAGGCAGACACTGCTTCCTTTCCTTACAATAAGGTCTATGAGCAAATCCCATTAATTGCCCTACACTTACTTCACAGTAAGTATAGGCACCGCGCTAAGCTCTGCGTGCATATTTGTATCTCATTTCACAGTTACACCTTGTGAGGCAGGTGTCAATGTCCTCAGGGAAGCTAAGCCATGTGACCCAGTTTGCATTAAACATTTTCAGAGAGCAGGAGGGGTCAGACTCAGGACTCAAATCCAGGTCTTTCTGATCCCAAGCCCTGTGATGATTATTCCACTGCCCTGCCTCTTCCTCAACGGTAGCTATCACCTGCCAAGTACGTAAGATGTGTCAAGAACTGTGCTAAGCACTTTGCGTTCATTACTAAGTACATCATTTCCTTCTAGCGGAGGGTAAGGTTGCTACAATAAAGTAGATTTTTGTAAGTGGTAGATGGGAAAACTCATATAGTGGCAAGTGTGCTAAACTTGGAAGTCAAAATCCCCAAGTCTGATGCCTGCTCAACTGCCTGGGGCTCAGTTGCCTCATCTGTTGAGTGGGGACAATTATCCCTAGTAAGAGTTGCCACGAGGAGTAAATCAGCTCATTTTTGTGAATGTCTTGTATAATTGCAAACCTTTGTACAAATGCAAGGGCTTATTACTGTTATTACTAGAAAGATCAATGCCCCCTTAGCTGGCAGTCCACTTTCGGTGGCATGGTAGAAAAGTGGTCAAAAGCCATCATTTGATGCCATCAGTTGATGGCATCTAATTTTGTTTGACTAAAGTATACAGTCAAGCTTTCGCTATTACTTTTCTATCTCAGAGGACAAAGGCAGCTAGAGCCTGAGCAAATTGAAGCCCGATTGTGTTGTCTGTGTCTTCTTTCTAAAATCTCTCTTTCTCTCTAGTGCAATCCTGGGATTTCATCCTAACAAGGGATTGCGGGGCAGAGGGGTGCTGGAAATGGAAGTCAGGAGGCTCCTATACTTAGGGCCTCGGACCTTGGGCATTTTCTCAGTGAACTGTCAACTCCTTATGCTTGGGGGTCACAGGACCATGTCTTTTCACACCAACACAAGTTTCACAACCACTCACAGGAAATGCCCTTTATCACAGTGTAAAATATCCCCTCAGAAAAGGGAGCCCTGGAAAAGGCCTGTGGTATTAGAACATGTAAATAGGCAGTCTTATCAATTTCCTAACTTTTTACTCCTTTTTTTTTTTTTATCTCCTATCGTAAGCAAATTTCCTAATCACTACGAGGACAAAAACTATTGAATGTCTAGATATTTAGGGAGGACAAAAAACTATTCATCGTAAACAAGAAGAATGACTTTTAATGAACTTCCATTTAAATTTTGGATGGTCTCTTTTTTTCAGCAGGGGATGCTGTATTTTCTACCATCTTTAGATGACTTTTTATTGAGGTCTGTAAGTAAAAAGGACAAGGGGTTATTTCTCAATCTACTGTGAGTTTCATGGCCTGGTCTTGAACAAATCATTTCTGGCCTCTGAGTTTCCTCATCTGAAAAGTGAGGGCTTTTAATTAAATTGTCCCTATGTTCCCTTTCGGTCCTGACGTTCTGATGTTCTATGCTGAATTAAAAGTGGCAATATTTGGCTAAACTATGACCTCCAAAAGTCTGAGAATGTTTGCATTTTTCTAGTATGTACTTCAAACATCCCAAGCAAACATTCTAAATTAAGTTACACCCCTGCACAGGTTAGCAAACCTTCACACACACACATCCCTTTCCAGTTTTCCAAGAACAGCCATTGTATGCGTCCATCCCTTATTACCATTCAAAGCCAGACTGCTCTCCCAGACAGTATCTACAGCCTTGTATCTAAGCCATTGCGAAGGAACGGGCAATTAATTTGATGAAAGCAAAGAGATCAGAACAACATCCCCATCAGAGTAAAGTGGGAAGATGAGAGTTGTCATTTTTTTTTTTTTTTTAACATTTCAAATGACTTCAAACCTTGTGTTGTGTCCTGGGAAGTCAGATCTTACAAACTGATGAACAAGCGATGTGAAATACTCATCCTCAGGCCTTGTTAAGCTGTAGTCCCTCTCCCTGATGATGGATGGGCCCAGTCCCCATCACTGTACATAAAGCACATGGGCGCCTGATAGGTTGCCTGCTGGGTCTTCTGCGGAGATGTTGCTGCTAAGTTAGCAACACATAAAGTTTTCCAAGTGGCCTCATTAGCCAAAGGCTATGGCTATGCTACTTGCTTCCATCGAGAGGTCATTTGTTCTATCCAATTCATTTTCCCTGCTCCAAGAACAGCCCTCTGGGTGCCCCAACCCCTTGCCCCTTGGCTTTCTTCTTACCATGGATCATTCTGGCAGATCCTACCTCACCAAGGAGAACAGCACTATACCAATACCTACAGATCCCATGCCTAACTCTCAGGGGCTCCCAGGGGCTTGCATACGGCAGGGAGGATGGGCTCCTTGGAATTGTGACTACTATAGGTACCAAGGGAAGAGTGTGGGAATTGCCTCTATACCTTAAGCTGGTCCCAGGCTGTTTAGTCCCCAATCTCCTCACCGCTTTAGTGTTAATCCTAGGACAAGTTACTCAAAGGGTTGGGTGAACGCCACCCGTGGTACCAACATTAAGTAACACTGAATTACCTGGTGAGAAGATTGTCCTTTTTTTAAATTTAATTCAATTCCTCTGATTATCTAACAGGGGAAATCTGAGTTTGGTACTAGAGTATCTTCAAAGCCTTTCTAATGCTTGCTTATCACACTTCTTTGCCAAGAGAAAGCCGCTCTCAGGTTCATAGCCATAGGCAAGCAACAGTATCCAAACAGAGGGTTTTAAAGTTTTTACTGAAGTTTTTAACCTTGAAAACTAGTCCCTCCATATATTCATTGCAAGTGATGCAAGTCTCCACTTTCAAAAGTGATATTCTTGTTTTGGATAAGTGTTCAAGTTTAAAAGTGAATTGATTTAGAGAGAAAAAAAAAGTAAGTAAACATGCAGATGGTGTGGGGAGCTTCACAAAGGCCTGGAAGGTGGTGAATGAACCATGAAGTTTGAGAGACGCTGTCCTAAGGAATAAGCTCCTTTCCTCTTCTCAAGGCCATTGTGTCCCTCCACGCCACATCCCTCCTCCATCCCTCAGCTGTTCTCTGCTTTTCCAGCACTTTGTCTTCACGGTCACTCTAAAAAAATAATCACCGAGTCTCTTTGGAGGTCTTTGGCTACACCAATCATGCATTTATTTTCTGGACACAAATCCCAGAAAAAATCTGCTTGGTCTAAGTTGTAAAATGCCTCAGATGTTTTAGGGGAAAGAATAGGAAGTCTTTCTCATTAAAAAAAAAAAAAAAATTTCTTCTCCCATCTAAGCGTGTTGCTTAGGAAATGCTAATAAAGAGCAAGCTGCAAACTTAGCATTTGAAATGGGTGAAGGGGGAGGTTGGCCATGGAAGGTTTAAAAGATGCTGGAGAGGAGAGAGCAGCAAAAGAGCTGTTGAGTGTATGGGGGTCTACCTGAACAGCTCTCTCCTGCCTCCTCTTCTCAGCCTTAGCCTCTTTTCATGGTTTCCACTGCACTCACGGGTTTTAAATTTATTTCTGTGACACCACCCTCCCCTACCTTTTTCATGAGATTGCTCTTTCTCTCTCTCTGTTTACCTATAAATATTCCCATGTTGGTATCCCAAAGCCACCTCAAATTCACCATTTATCAAAACACACTCCTTATTTTCTTCCTATTATTTCTTACTTTGCTCAACATCATTAACCATGACATCATAAACCTTAGTTCCCACTGCCTCACTCTTCTCCTTCACAGCACACATCAAACTGGCTACTAATCCTACTTGCTAAATCCATCCCCTTAGCCTCTTCCCCTCTGTCTCTGGTCAGTCAAGGCCCTCATCATTTGTCACTTGAACACTACCTCATCTTTTTGCCGTAAGTCCCTTTTGCCCCATCCCAGGTAATCCTCCACACAGATTGCTAAAGTACCTGAAAAGTAAAATCTCAACATGTCACTCCCCTGCTAAACAATTTTGCCCTGGTTTCTGTTGCTGCACTTAGCTAATTTTTCAGGGCCCTCTGAATGTGATATTAACCTTCTTACCTGCTGGGTCTCCTATTTCTCCTCAGCCACAGAGAACTCTGGCTAGTTTCAAATACTGTGTGTTCTATCATGCTTTGGTGCCTTTGCATAAGTTCTCTCATTTCCTGGAATGCCTCTTCTGCCCCGTCTTGTCTGGAAATTTTCTCTTGCAGCTTAAAAGCCAGTTCTTCTGGATAACCTTACATTCCTTCCTATGGTGGAACCCCATAGCATGCATGTTCCTCTGCTATACCATTTATCCTATTGCATTGTAACATAGTGTTGATGAGTTTCTTTCCTTCAGCAGACGGCTAATATCTCAAAGTTGAGGGCCAGTGTCTAGTACACAGTTGATGCTCAGTAGATATTTGTCAAAAAAGGAAATGGCTACATTGACTGGGGCAAGGATAAAAAGCAGTGGTGGGTTAGAGATAGTTATTTAGATTGCCCAAAAGTAAAACCTACTCTTGGTTGGGAAGTGGAGGGTCTTAATTAATCAAATGTTCTTATTGGGGAAGGAAGGCTTCTATGCAGCAGGTCCTCAGTAGATATTTTTGAACTGAATCAAACAACAACCGAATGTAGTACAAAGATTGTTGACTTTCAAATACCTGGAATGCTACATACTCTAAACAAGATAGAATCTAATCAAATCTTTCTTCGATTAATCAGAGAGCTTGTTGCAATTTCATAGGACATTGAGATCCTTGTTCATCACGGCCATCCAACATTATTGCCCAGTACTTC